AAAGTTTCGGTTGGGTTGATCGCTCCAGGCAGAGCAGATGTGATTCCGTTACATTCAAGCAGCCATTGTCAACGGTGTTTGGTCAGTCCTTATCGATCAGGTCGAGGGAAATCTAATCGCGAATGCTTGTCAGGGAACCGCATTGGCAGTTTAAAATGCCCAGCTTCAAATGAACGCGTCGGGTTCGAGGAAGTGGTGCGGTAGGAGGTATGGCCGCGAAGGAATGGTCCGGAGAGATCACGGTTTCCTCACACGACTGGAGAGCTGTCCATCTTCTTCGTTCATTCGGGGAAACAGATGGGATCGGTGTACGCAATCATCGATCTTACGTTGTCGGACTCTCACTCCTGTACGCGTCGGGAAGCGTTCATCAGGGAGGTCAGATGGGTTACGTCAGACTGAGGTGGTACAGGTCGACTCTTGGGAGGAAGGCGAGGCCTCCAATCAATAAGGTACATGTACCTCATTGACCGGAAGGCAACCCTTCCAGCCGGCGAGGTACATGTACCTTGTCAACCAGAAGGAAACCCTTCCAGCCGGCAAGGTACATGTACCTCGTCGACTGGAAGGATTCCCTTCCAGTTGACGAGGTACATGTACCTTGTTGACCGGTGTGGTAAATAATACTGTGTTTCTACGCAGAAAAATATAAAAACTTATTATTATCTCTTTATATATTATATATATGGTAAAAATAACATCAGAAATGGATTTCTCAGGTAAAATTACCCCTAGTCACCCACTACAACTGACCCCATATCTCTCATAGTTTAGAAGTTACACAGATTTCAACCTGTCACGGGATATCTTTTGGATTCTTTACTCTCAGTATGGCTTGTTTTGAATACTGGATGCATATTGAATATTGAATTCCTTTGTGTTGTATTGAATTCCTTTATTGGCACATAGTGCACATTGAATTCCTTTGTAGGTGCACATGCATTCCTTTGTAGTAGGACCTTGTAGGCTAGCCAAATTCCCTCAAGGCAGTGCTAACACCAGCCAAATTACCTCACCTGCATGTACTAGACTAGCTAAAATCCCTCATTGGATCTTCAGGCCAGCTAAAATGCCTCAAAAGCCTGTACCCTGGGGCTAAAATCCCTCACATTTGTCTATATAAGGAGGCCTCTGCCTGCCAGTTGTTCCCTCCATCATCCCACCAGTGGACCGGATCATCTCAACCACCCTTACAGATTATATACAAGTGACAGCCATAACAATACATTATATGTGAAATACAATCATAACACTTTCATCATCATAACAAGTGCCAAGTGCCCATAACCTGCCTCACATACCATTACTGGTTGAAGCATAGCACTCCCAGAGCTCCAAGCCTTGGTTTTAAAGCTTTGAACAACAACTCCATCAATATAATCATCACTCATTTATAACTTCAGACCCTTATACACATCACTCGGAAGCTTCATCTTGAACCATCCTCTATCACGATAAATATAACTGCCAAGCTAAGCTTGGTGGTCTTGTTGTTCTGATAGCATAGAAGGGCAGAGCTTGCAACTCCATCATCCCCTTCTCCATTCAGCAAAAGGGTTTTCATAACCACTTTTGAGTCTTACAAGGGAGTCCCCAACGTGATAGGATAAACTTCTGATTGACATTGTGTGACCAATTTTAATTGAAAACAAGAAGATAATCAAGAAGACATCGACAGAGGATCGTTACTTTAGTGGTAAACGGAACGAATTCATCAAATAAATCTGCGACTACTCAGCGGTATATTCAGTTATTCTGTTGATCAACCAGTCAAACTTCAATAAACAATTCAACGACACAAACAACGAACCTCTGAAAAGAAAGTGAACCCATCAACTGAAACGAGTATCTTGAAGAAGGCAGCCAGTTATTGACCAACAGAAGGAAGACCACCGAAGGATCTGGATAACTAGGATACTGTTTGAAAAGAACTCCGGAACTATTCGAAGAAAGCAGCTGCTTATTGACCAAAAGAAGGAAGACCACCGAAGGATTTGGATAAGTAGATTCTGTGAAAGAAGAAATTCCCAGTGTTAACTGATTTATTTATTTTAAGAAAACCATAAGCTTGCCCTGGTAAAGAGACCAGAGACAATAGTATTATTTGTTTCTTTTTCAGAGCAAACGTTTGTTTAGGTATCGAAGGAGCGTCAAGTAAGGAAAACTAGGAACATCAATCAAAATCAACATGAGTCTACCATACAGTACACCAGATTTGGAAGATGGGTTTGCACCGTCAACCCCTTTTAGGAACCGAATTTTCGACCAACCTTCAGGATCATCATCAGCTTTCAATTGGAATCCGGACACTACAATGCCACCACCGAAGGATAAAGGAAAGGGAAAAGCAAGTGAAATACGGGATACGACGGAGGAAGACTCAGATGCAGGCGATCCTACACCTCAAACACACAACTTACCTCCTCTGTCTGGATATGGACTTCACAACACCCAGAATGCAGAAGAGCCAGTGTATAATCGACAACAACAACAACAACCAGCGAATCAGGAACAACAATATCAACAACCAATCCCTCAAGTTGCACCAAGAATTATCAAGGAACCTGGACTTTTTTACGATGGCGAAAACTTTGGAAAGTTCTTGATGCAGTTTGAAAGAGCGGCTAGGGCGTTTAATGCAAGCGACTACGATAAGGCATTACAAATCGGGCAATTCATGAAGACAGAGGATCTTAAAACTCAACTAGAAGCCATGGACGGGTTTGAGAAATGTGAATGGAGAAAATTACGAAAGGAGATGGTCGAAACCTGGGGAGAATTGGATAATACGATCCTGTACACCTGAAACGACCTGGTTAAGGTTGCAAAAGAATTCGGAGTAAATGGAGGAATCAAGGACCATCGGGATTTCAAATCTTACTTAGGAAAATTCACCACCATTCTCAAGTACCTAGTAACTAATAAACAAATTCATCAGAAATCAGACGCCGCAATACTATTTCTGAGCGCATTTTCCCGCGAAAGTCAATCGAATATCAAACGCACCTTAATCAGTTACGATTTACTTCCAAAAGGACCGGACGGCAGCAACTTACCTCCACTCTGGGAAGACTTGGTCGAAGCATCACGACTGGAAGTGCGGATCGTGGAACCTGGATATTTTAACATCTCGGGATTTGGCGAAGCCAATCAACTAATGCAGAACAAACTAAACACGCAGAAAGGAAATAGTCAACAAAGAGATCAGATGATTGCGGAAGCACCTACGGGCCAAGCCATGGACAAACAAGTTGAAGATATGGCGCGGGAAATTGCTCCACTCAAGTCTCAGTTGAAAAGCATAATACCTGCATCCTACAATCAAGCCGGATCAAATGAAAAATCGGAATTCTCTAGAGGTAATGCTAGGCCTTCAACACCCTTGTATGAAACCCAAAGTTGTTACTACTGTAAGAAAGAGGGACGCGGTGTGGTAAGCCAATCTTGAATAAGAGGCCCACAAAATCAAAGCTTCAAGTACAATATCAAGCCCTCTGAATGACAAGACCCTCAAGGATCAAGACAAGCCCCTTCTGTAATATTCAGACAGCCTGCAACACCATGGATGTCACAAGACCAAGCCCCCTGGACAGAAGACACTCTGGATTTCCATTTCACTTCATTATTACATGATCACTTCATGCAGCCTTACATCATCAATACCCATTCAGCCTTCCACACTTGGCCTCTGCATGTGTTTCACTCTATTCCACTTTCACTCTAGCATCATTTCCACTTTGGGCCACATTCTATTGTTTCACACTATTCCTCTTGGGTTATTTTCATGTCTCACACTAGTACACATTTGGCTAGTTCATTTATCTCTTTGGTATATTCTTCCTCCCTCATTGGTTGTGGCACATTTCATCCCCGCATGCCTCTGATGTCATTTCCCCCATTCATCTTAGTGCCTACCAATTGGGCCACATGTTTCAGTTTGATAATTTTCTCTTGTTCCATTTTGTTCCATGGTGTTTCCAACCACAAGCTGGCCACTCCCCAGATTTTGCATATAAGGAGCCTTGTTTTCCCCTCTTCATTTGTTCCCCATCAGATCCTGCCCCAGCAATCCAGATAACTGATCACCCTTCATTAGCCTAGTAGTTGCCCATCAACATTTGGGATACTAGTATTATTCAGACAGAAGACCAGAAGACAGAAGACATACCCATCTCAAGAATCCTCCAAAGCCACACCTTTCTTTAAGAGTCCACACTCTTATCTTTTTCTTGTTATCTTACTCAACCCAGTTACCAGAGAGGCAGCCCATTAAAGCATCTTTCCCTCTCCAGCTCTATTCATCCCAAAGAGTAGTTCCACAAGTGGTGTCCCAACAGTGGCCTGAAGATCTTTTGGTTTCAGTCAACTGTCCATCACAGTCCCTCACCTAAATATACAATCTCAGATCAGCTAGTCACTACCAGTCATAATAGAAGATCAAATCACTCACTCCTCCACTCAGAAGCTGCAGAGACCTTTATTGGTAGATCTGCCTAAACAACATAGAAAATCAAAAATTTATCATAACAGTAGAAATCACAACAACTCCCCCACCACCATGAATATTCCACCAAGAAGATACTCCTTTTCTGGACCATTCCCTGGACCACAGATAATGAAGGCCAAATTAATCAATGTTTCCATGATGGTTATCCCTGCTTTCAATGGAACTTCAAGACAGAAAAATCTGGGATTAGCCCCCACTCACCCAGGACCCAGGAGGAATATCAGCCCCCCTCCCTCAGAAAATAAAAATCTGAACCCACCTAAAATTCAAGAAGCCCTGTTACCCCAATCAACTGGAAAACAGCCACTCAAGTCACCAGGATCCAGGACAGTAGTAGAAAATAAGACTTACCCTCCTGGAACCAAGGCCAAATCCCCTACCTTGCCCTTGGAAAATTCAAAATTAAACCAAAGAAACTTCACAGAAAGATCACATACACCTGAAAGCACCCTTGGCCCCCTTCCTTCTGATCTGGGAAGAACAGAAAAATTGAGCATTGCTTACAGACCCAAAGATGGAATGCCTTTCACCAAGGAAGAATATGCTAGAAAGGATTTGAAATTCTTGGTCAGCTCCACTATTCAAATAGGAAAGATCAAAAATCTAGAACAACTGAAACTTTTCAGAATCAAATTTGAAGCAATCACTCACTACCTAATCAGAAATGGTCATAATTCCCACATGGATGAATTTGCCAACTACCTTTGGAAATCCCTCACCCCAAAGTTGGAAAGAGACATATCTGACCCACTTATCTGGGATGGTCACTTGGTTTTGGATGACAATTTTCACATTGCAGAACTACCACCCTATGATGTAATTCTGGAATATATCTATATGGAGCTTGGACAAATGGATACTCTTCAAGAAGCACCTGGTCAACCTGAACAAGACATTCACCAACCCAATCAGAATCAGCATAATTTCATCAACATGGAAGAATGTAACCCAGAAATGCAGTCACCACCTACAGAAAATCACTCCCCAGTACCTTCTTCAAACTTGTACTGCTGCCCCCTGATCTTGCAAAATGACCCATCACAGGAACACTTGGACAGAGAAGAAATAGAATTTGGATCAGAAACAGTATGCTTACCAGAAATAATTCCTTCAGAAATATCCTCACCATGTGCCTTGATTGAAGAGGATTTCTCCCCAGTAGCATCAATAGCTTTGGAATCTTCCCCTCAGCCCCTGGAAAATAGCCAACAATTGGGACCCATGGATCAATATGAATCAAAAAACCTTGGATCAGAAAGCTCAGGAACTATACTTCAAGAATTAGTAGTACCAGTTGAAGATACCTCAGATAACCCTTTGCCTGGATTACCTGAAAACTGCCTAGAAATCATTGGAGAGGATAAAAATGAAGAGGATTTTGTTCTGAATTTAGAAGATAGGATACCTTTGGATTCAGTAATATCAACTGATTTCCCCACAATAACTTCCAGAATAGTTTTACCTGAAGGAATTGGAACTCCAGATGAAACCAGTTCAGAAAATCAAGAAGAGTTCTTTCCAGAAAGTTATTCCCAATCCAAAATAAACTGCTTCAATGCCCATGGATCTGAATTCTTCTCATTGGATGAAATAGAACAAGTAACTTCATCAACAAAAATCTTGAAGAATTGCATCTTTCAGAAAGACCCTGGTAAACCATCAGAAAAATTTTGCAAATTAGTCACTTCCATGAAACATCTGCAAGATTTTTCCAACCCTTCCACTTACCAAGTAACCCAACAGAAAAATTTGGAACTCTCTAAGCCCCCTGATACCAGTCAAACTCTTATTAAGCCCCCTCTGGTTATCCTGGAATGGTCTGGCCTGACAAAACCTATGGAATCTGTAGAACAGAAAATAAAACCAATGAGCATCAGACACTCAGAATTGATTTTTCCACTCCTTGCTTCAGCTGAAGACCTTATAATTTCAAAATTCTCACCCTGGGTCATTGATAAATGGAACAGAAAGAAGAGAAAACCTGGTATCAATAGGAATAGCTTGAGAAAATCAGAACAAAATTCATCAAATAGCCTTGCATCAGCAAAGTCCTATCCACCAAACTTGAGCTTTGGCATGAAATGTCTCCTGTTTGTGGTTTTTTGCTACTTGGTTTGTTCACCTATAACTCATTCAGAATCAATTTCAGAACACCTTGAAGTCATCTTCCAGAAGGACCCTGGAAAAATTATGGAAAAGAATGTTACATTAGCCTTTGTCATCAACCAAAAACCAGAATTTGATCCTCAAACTCACCAATCAACTCCTCAACTTCACAATCTGCACCAGTCTAAACCCCCTAATCCCAGCCAATCATGGATTAAACCCCCTCTGTTTGCTATTGCAAAAACTGGATTGGAACTATATACCATCCTGCAAGAGTCTACCTCTCCGAAATGCTGCACAAACAACTCACAATTCACCTGGGAAACTCATAGGGATCAATATTTTATTGGACTTGTTCCACCTTTGATTGTACCAGGCCTATCTAAAATGAGAAAGAAAAGGAAGAATGAAATTGGCTTCAGGAGATATAGAAAAACTTGTCCAGCATCGAAAAACCACTTAGCAGAAAACATTACAAAGAAGAAGTACCTGACTATAGCAGCTGGAGCAAGAAATTTTGCTTCACTGGCTTGGAACAGTTTAGATTGGGGCTTCAACAACAAAGAAGAACCAAGATTGTTCAGCTACCAATCAAGCGAAACTAGATCAAACACGAGCAAGGAATTTATTCTTCAAAAGGGATCAGAACACCTACCAGCATCTTGTCTCTTTGAAACCCATCTACAGACTATACCTGTTGTAGCGACCAGTTTCTCTTCGCTGGCTTTGTTTTTTTTGGTAGGCCAGAAGCAGAAGGAGGATTCAAGCGATCAGTTGCTATTGATTTGGCAAACAAGCAGGAATAGTGATCAATCAAATTTGCGAACCTACAGTTTGAAACATTTGGTAGAACACAAGCAATCGATCGCATCAGAATACCTACCCTTAGCTTGTGTTTTTACTAAATCCCAAGGAGCTAGATCTTTGGAAGCGATTGACCTTGTGATGTTCCAGTTAGAGCACTCAGCGCAAGGGAGAATAAACAGAAAGTACAAGATTATAGCTGTTGGACCGACAAGGTTCAGCTCGTTGGTGTTGGTTCAGATCTATAATAGGATGCAAAAGAAGAATCTGATCAGCAATATTTCACACTGGTGGTACCAGGCAAGCAATAACAGCAAGAGATTGATTTCGCGAAAAGAATCTGTATACTTTCCATCACCTTGCATATTCAGCTACTTTGATACCTGCCAGGTCTTGCGATTCGGAGAAAATGCTTGTAATCCTCTGAGGCTGGATTTTCTATTCCTTGATGACGACCGGCGCAAGAGGGAGAAAAATTCAACAGGAAGTACACCCCCATCTGGTCCTTTTGAGACCCAGACCCAGACTGTATATGTTGAAGCGATCACTCTTGCTTCACTGGTGTTGAATAGCTTGGATCAGAAATTCAAAAAGAAAGAAAGAAAAAGGTGCCTTAGCGATGATATTGACGGTCCTATCAGAACAGCCAACTACTCACCATTGTCCGACCGCTTTCTGGATAGATTACGGGCTATTGGAGTTGAAGCGACTGGCTTTGATTCTTTACAGTTAGATAACTTTACACAAAAGAACCTCGAGTACCTGATAACATGTGTTGAAGCGGCCAGTTTGGCTTCATGCCCTTTGAAATTTTTGGATCAGAGGTCCAAGAAAAAGAAGCAGCAGACCAGTTTCAGATTCATAGAGTCTTTTTTTCCTCAGAATATTGCCATGAAGAGGAAGAAAGATCGATTCAATTACTTTCCATGGATGATTCAAAAATCTGAAAGAAGAGAGCGAAGGGTGTTGCCTATGCACCGGTTGGAA